AGTGTGTGTATATAAAACTAACAAATCAGGCGAATGCAGAAAATGTGATCCCAATTTTGGATAGGGTACAAAATCCGTAAAAAGACTAAACAGATATTACCAATAGCTATGTAAAAACAGGGTCAAAATATCGTGACAATAGTTGATATATATATATATAGTGATTACAGTAAGGACTGTTGGTACCATTCGCTGTAGTTTTGATATTGCACACTTTGTTAACGTATCATTTGATATCAATATACCAACAGGTCTGTGACTGTTTTGTATCACGTGTTAAAGCACAGACTTACATACCGGTAGTCTAGTCTTTGGTTAAAGATATGCAGGAATGTCAGTAGGATTGGGGAGTAGCCAGTTCAGACTAAAATATGGAAAATAATTCTTAATCAAAGAATGATTTAATATCCCAAGGTTTATTGAGATAATTATTGATACAAGTTCCTGTTTACAGTTTAATTAGCATGCTTACATATATACAAATGTACCGGATGTTCTAAAATTATCAGATATATGGGATGTACAAAAATTTACTGAATGGCTAGTGAGCCTCCCAGTCAAGATTTTAACTTTTAATTTGATCACTTTGGATTTTTTCTCCCTCACTTCTTAGTTCTGAAGTTTCAGCCCTTGCCATTACTGACGAGTCTTAGAATGATGAAACATCTGTATGAAGGCTGTAGTATATCAAAATAAATTTGTATTAAAGGTGCTATTTACTTGTGTGTCTTTTGTATATTTATCAATTACTTCTCTGGGTGTGATGGCAGTGCTGGACCTAATCACATCAATTACTTCTCTGGGTGTGATGGCAGTGCTGGACCTAATCACATCAATTACTTCTCTGGATGTGGTGGCAGTGCTGGACCTAATCACATCAATTACTTCTCTGGTTGTGATGGCAGTGCTGGACCTAATCACATCAATTACTTCTCTGGGTGTGATGGCAGTGCTGGACCTATCACATCAATTACTTCTCTGGGTGTGATGGCAGTGCTGGACCTACATCAATTACATGGCAGTGCAATTACTTCTCTGGGTGTGATGGCAGTGCTGGACCTATGGCAGTCACATCAATTACTTCTCTGGGTGTGATGGCAGTGCTGGACCTAATCACATCAATTACTTCTCTGGGTGTGATGGCAGTGCTGGACCTAATCACATCAATTACTTCTCTGGGTGTGATGGCAGTGCTGGACCTAATCACATCAATTACTTCTCTGGGTGTGATGGCAGTGCTGGACCTATCACATCAATTACTTCTCTGGGTGTGATGGCAGTGCTGGACCTAATCACATCAATTACTTCTCTGGGTGTGATGGCAGTGCTGGACCTAATCACATCAATTACTTCTCTGGGTGTGATGGCAGTGCTGGACCTAATCACATCAATTACTTCTCTGGGTGTGATGGCAGTGCTGGACCTAATCACACCATATCATACTTATCACATACTTTTTGTCTCCAAACTGTTTGTCCACATAAGTTCAGTGTAAGTGTTCATTTCACCAGCAGCAAATTGCGTGATTTAATTTTTCTAAGTAAATGTCCATATTACAAACAAGTCATTCAATTTAATATCGTATTCAGATTTAATGAAAATTCATATTTCATAAATTTCCAGTATACTCCCTTTACTCTGTAACATAAATAATTAAGGGATTTACAACGCTGATTGCACCTATGAATATTTTAATGTTCAAATAGTAAATATGATAACAATGAAAACAAACAACCAAGAACACTATCTTTGTATAAAAATGTTCACAATCAGCTAAAATCTCAAAAGTGATCACCCTCATATCAACTTACACCAAGGATGTACAATACTACAGTTATACATCCCTGCTTTAATTAACTGATACAAGAGTCAGTCATGGGAAAAATAAAAAAAGGTTATCAGACATCAATAAAACCGAGTCTTTATTCTCCATTTTTCCTTATGTGACCATGTTTTATTCATATTTCTATCTCTTTATTTTTGTCTTGAATACTTGAAAATAAATTTTGTTCCTACTGTCTTCAGTACATCTTTGCTAATTTGCCATACTCAGCTCAGACAGAGCTAATAAGTTGATAAGTTTACTTTGCATCGCACAATACGGCAGCCTGTCATAAATATCTTATTGGAACAATAAATGAAATATACATATATTTTTTTCTGATCAATCTTTCATGTTTATCCTTATCACTATCAAATATTTCATATGATCTGAATCAGAAAACAATTATTAGGGATCATCATTTTAACACAGTTTAAATATGTTCGACCCAGACTATTAGCAGCTCGTTTGCCATTCATATCAAAGAATTCAATTAATAACGTGATTTTATTAAGGTGTTTAAAAGGACTAAATGGTCAGATTTTGATATTTTTCTTATGCATTGTTTCAGGCAAGCACAGTTATACTTAAGATTAAACTCTTCAAAATTATAACACTCTCTGAGCGAAAAGGATAAAGATTATTAGCTTCAAACTAATGACATTCGACATTTGCTGTTGTGTCTACCTCCCATCACTGTTTTGATCGGAGATACCCAAGTTCATCATGTGATCTATCGGAGCCTCATTTTAACCCACCGTTTTATCACAATTTCTTGCTATGTATTATGTAAATAGCCTAAACTTGATTAGCCAGCCAAATTTCAAATCTTACTTTGTAAAATGGCCTCTTGTTTCATGCTATACACGTGACAGAATGAAACAAATGAATTTGTATTTATCAGAATCTAGAACTGCATGCACAAAGACATTGTTTACATTCTCCAAACGAGAATGATACAAATTAGTGTTAGGTTGCTCCTATCTTATTTTAATTTTTTGAGTTGATAATAAAATGGTTCTGCAAACTTTAAAATATTATAATTAAAAGAAAGTACACAATTTTTAACAGATATTTCAATGTTATATTGTTTTTGTCAGCTATGGTATGGATATCTAATCATTTACTCCCTTTAACACAATATAGGGATTTTTTTTTTTTTCCGTCATATCAACACTGAGTTCAAGCTTTCTTATATAAACAACGTGCAGTTTATAATGCAGTGTTTGGATGTATTGATTGTTTACTGCTTGAGCTATATTACATTTATACACACAGTATTAAATGTACTAAGTAAACCTCCATAATCAGAGAGCTTATAACATCTCTTCTTCACTCTAACACCAACTAATACCTGGATGACTGATTCTATATATTGTAGACTTTGAGTCTCTGTATTTCCATCATTGTGAGACAAGTTCATGGTATCACTTAATTTCAAATATTCTAAAAATCATATCCCATGTTTGTTAATGTCAGCTTTCAAACTTAATTATCTATTTAGCAAGATTTATGTCTGTTATGACTTTTTGCCCTTTTAGCAGACAAGACTTTTCAAAGATTACACAGACATGTAAACAAGAGGCCAATGGGCTTTGGCCAGCTAAGCTATACACAATGAATAACAGCAGCAGTAGAAGTAAGAGTAGTTATTAAATGATTAAAACATGAAAATAAACAGATAATTTAAATAGTGATGGCAAACAAAAGACCCAAATGGCCTGAATAGCACAACTGTTCTACAGTTTGCATAGAAGATTTGTTTGGTTCATAAAGTCAATTTCTAACACCTAAAAATCCTTTTGCTATTACACAAATATCCTGACCCACCCTGGACATATTGCTTGTTGAAAGATTTTAAAGAATCGTCAGTTCTAAACACATTTGACTTGTGACCGCAAAGTATGTCAAGGTCAATCATTCTGACTAACCTTGGTAACAATTCATCCAATTATGTGACAGAACCAATATCAATATTCTGAACATTTTGGTCATTGAGAAGTTGTTTGAAGATTTTTTACACTTTTGACCTCTCATCTTTTAAACAAACTTGACAGCCATTCCTCAGTGCATTCTTTTTGCACAACATCAGCACCCTGGGTCTTTTTGTTATTGAGAAGTTGTTAAAAGATTTTGACACATTAACATTCATGTGGCCTTGAACATGGGCTCAAGTCAATCACTGAAAATGTGTCAATATCATTCATTTGAACAAACTTGACAAATTTGACCTCAGAGACATTGAAAATTGGTCAAGGTCATTCATTTAAACAAAGTTGGCATCCCCCCAATTCAAACAAACTATGAGCCAAACATCAGCACCCTTGGCATAATGTTATTGGAAAGAAGTTTTTTAAAGATTTTGATATGTTTGATCTCAATGACCTTGAAAGTGGTTAAGGTCATTCATTTGAACATTCATCCCACCAAGTGTCCAACCTATTATCAGCATCCCATGCCTTTTGATGAATGAGAAGAAGTTGTTTGAAGTTTTTAACACATTGCACGCCTCAGAACTTGAAAATTGATTAAGGTCATTCATTCACACAAACTTGGTAGTCCTTAATACAAGCAAGTGACAGGCTTAATAACATAAAAACAATGACATCTTAATGTTAGATTTGTCAATATAAAAGTCTCACACAAACTTAACGCCATTACAAATATCAGATGATATGTCTGATAGACAACAAAGTAACGTTGTTAATTAAAAGATGTACAAAAGATACAATTTAATCTTTACACATCCACGTTTCCAGGACAACCATGTGTTTCCAGGACAACCACGTGTTTCAAGGACATCCACATGTTTCAAGGACATCTACATGTTTCCAGGACTACCACGTGTTTCAAGGACATCCACATGTTTCAAGGACATCCACGTGTTTCAAGGACATCCACATGTTTCAAGGACATCCACATATTTCCATGGTAACTTAATTTAATGAAGAAGACACATTTGTCGAAATGTAGTATAATCCAAATGGAGGAAACTTTAAATCATTCACATTTGTAACATATTTCATGCCATTTTGGCTTAATACACACTGCCATTCAGACAAAATATCATCAGCAGTAGAACGGTAAATCCAGTGAATTTCTGGTGCGATTTTCTTCAACACATCACAAATAAGTGTAAAATGAATCTCCCAACTTCTAGAATCGTGTTCCTCACTTGTTATTCATAATAATATTCAATTTCTGTATCACAGAACACCATGTTACACAGCACCATACACGCGAAAAAGAACGTCAAAGAAACAGGCACCATACTACAGGCGATGGCTGTCAGAAACCATGCTGAAACACAACAACATATCACTTAATATTGTACATGTGTAGAATTAATGCAGGATGTGCTTAATTTGAAATCAGTCAAAAACATGAAATAAGTCCATCATTTCCAAAACTGATCCTTTGTATATGTAACAACATTTCAAAACATAAATATAGATGATAAAGGTTTATGCATATCAAAAAATTCATATTTACAATGACAGTTTTTCTATTCAAGTATTTTTTTCATTTCATACATCAATTACATTCCGCTTAAACCAAATTTTTATAGACACATTTTCACGACAAAATTTACCATATGTATATAACTTCTGTTAGTTAGTAATACTTTTTCGTCAGTATTTAGAACATAAATTAAAACTTACTTGGTGGAACATAGGTTTCTGTTGTCGTAACATCTAAAATGAATATCTCTAAAAACTGTGTAGACAGGCCATGGTCATCGGAACAGCAAAAACGCACCTTGTAGTAGTCGGAGATGTCTTTGTAGTTAAATACTGGATTTGTTGTCGTGTACAATTTGTAAACTGTTTGAACAAAAATATAGATAGTGACATATTACTGTTATAAACAAGTAAGTTCAACACTATATAGTTACAACTGTACATGCCATCTTAGGGTGTTTGTAAACTGTTACAACCATGACGTCACTAATTTTATGATTACAAAACTAAATTGTAAAATTATTTAAATATATATACTTTTAAAAATTAAGATTAATTTATTTATTTGTAAAAATAAAATGTAAAATAGAAAACATGTGAATATTAGGGAGGTCAATGTACATTACGTAAATCAAATTTCAATTGAATGAGTTGAAATTAGAGAAAGATTTTCAATATATATTTATCCCAAGTTACTTTTCAAATTGCTATGTATCAATATATAATGACTGGCAACTTTAACAGCACCTACACTAATTCATTCTTCCACAATGAAAAGAGTGTATGTTCATTATATATAATTAACATCCAAATAAAAAAATCAAATTGTTGCTGCAGTTTTTATCAGTATAATAATGTATCTACACTTGTTACTGTGACTAACATTTAACTGACACAAATATCTATACTGTACAACAACATCACTAAAAATACCTTCGTTTTCAAATTTAAGTTGAAAGTTAAGACTTCCGGGAATAACCTCGGTCAGTGTGCAGCACACCGAGTCGTTCTCTGATTGGTCAACTACATCAATTTCAAACACCATCATCTCATTTGCAACTGTCTCGATGAGCTCTACACTATCAGGCAAGTTCATAAAGATTGGAGGCTGTTTAAAACAGGAGAACAACCGATCAAAACACAAATATTGTTCAAGGTTTGACGACACCCACATATTATAATTAGTACAATGTTTGCTGCAGATGGTTTTATGAAGCATCTTTAGTCAATGATAATGATGTTATCCTGAACTAGACAGCACCAATTTCTTTATATCAATCTTTCACAACAAATATGAAATATATTTTCCAAAAGAAGTTGAAAAGTTTCAAAGAAATAATTTTTTGTATATGATTCTTTCAAAACCAAAGCAACCTGTATCTTTTTGTCAGAAGACAATGACAACTTTTCATTGTTCATTTAAACATACAGAAAATTTGATACCTATATACAGAAGCTATGCAAAAGTACAATAAAAGCAACTGTATCGCTAATTAGGTAGGGTACACACCGCATTGTATGTCATGATGGTGAGGGTGGTAGTAGCTGTATTACTGCAGTCGTCCCAGCTTTTGAGAACAAGTTCAAATACAGAATAGGTACTTGGAAGAACACCTCTAGTCATTATATGGATGTTACCTGCAAAATAAACAAACCAATCAAATTGATTATGTAGCATACCACACCTTTTGTGATTTAATACTCTATAAAACAAGCATTTACATTGGACATTTTTTTATATTATAATACCATAACATCAAAAAAATGATCACATTTGGTTATATAACATTTGATTGGACAATAAGGTGATTTGGTTATATAACATTTGATTGGACAATAAGGTGATTTGGTTATATAACATTTGATTGGACAATAAGGTGATTTGGTTATATAACATTTGATTGGACAATAAGGTGATTTGGTCATATAACATTTGATTGGACAATAAGGAGATTTGGTCATATGACATTTGATTGGACAATAAGGAGATTTGGTCATATAACATTTGATTGGACAATAAGGTGATTTGGTTATATAACATTTGATTGGACAATAAAGTGATTTGGTTATATAACATTTGATTGGACAATAAGGTGATTTGGTTATATAACATTTGATTGGACAATAAGGAGACATGATAAAATATTGAAGAAAACTGTCCATTATAGATAACACAAATGTTGCAAACCTGTGATTTGATTATCAATTAAATTGGCATTGCAATCAATTATGACCAAAATACATGTACATCATTTTTGATGAAAGCAACAACACAACAAATAGAACTGAGAATACCCCTAATCAATAAAACACAGATACCAGGGATAGATTTGGTAACAATGTACATAAACTTTAAAAAAAATTCCTTGATGGTACACAATAATTTGTCCAAATGAGATTTCTTTCGTTGTAATATATCATACAAAAATGATAATAATAAAACAAGTTCTTTAGTTATTTAACAAATATGACAAATAATTTTCGAAATAAATTTTGTATTGGATCCAAATCAGACCCCTGGGCCAATTTTTTCATCATGGTTGTGTTCATCCAACATAGCTATATATGGTTATGGGGCAGGGATCTCAACTGCTTCAAGCATTGAGCAAGGAAACCAAGTCCCGAGGGGTGGGGCCAGCACCCTGGGGCAATACTTAGATCATGATTACGTTTATATCATTATGTCCAGCCATGCTATATATGGTTATGGGCTGTTTCAAAGATAAAGCCCTTTTACCATTTTGAGCCCCTCCCCTTCTGCCCTTGTTGGCCTAGACTCACTATACAAAACGGAGTCCCCTTCGCTCAGACATACTTCAGATCAAATTTGGGCAAATTATATCCAATCATTCCTAATGGAGGAACAGGATTTTAAAAACTTGCAACATTTTGGGTCCTGCCTCAGGGGACCAAGAGCCAATATTTATACAAACTTGGTTCTCATTCTCTCAAGCATGCTTTTGACCAAATTTTGGCAAAATCCAATTCTTACTGGCTAAGTAGGATTTTAAAGAATTTGCTCCATTTTCCAATTGGGCCCTGCCCCTCCTGTCTCTGGGGGCCAGGATGCACTGTTTAGATAAAACTGATTTCCCTTTACACAAAAATACTTCTGACCAAATTTTGCCAGTATCCATTCATTCCTACAAAAGGAGTTGCATTTTAAAGAACCTTCAAAATTTCTCCTTTTGGGCGCCAACCCTCAGATTCCAGGGAACAGAAATCTTGTGATTATACAAAATGGATTCTTCTTCACCCAACAATGGTTCAAACCAAACCAAGCTAAAACATTTGGTGTCAAAATATATATAGATTGCATTTGTTTGCAATATAAATGACATTGATTTATAGATTTAAACAGATGACTTTCTTTCTGTTCATTATATGACAAAGTTTCTGCCAGAAAGAAATATCAAATTTTGAAAATTCTATCCTGAATTTTTAAATCATTGACCTTGAAAGTGGTGAATTGGTATCTTGATAACAAAAATTCTTACAACCTGTGATATCCATGTTTATGATGGTCGTCTACCTGACTGAATTCATTCATATTACAAAGTTCTTTCAGACAGAGCCATCCACAACGTGAACTTAAGTAGAAAGGTGTGTTTTTACCTGGAAAGGTTGTATTCAATTCAAATAATCCGGTAACATCATTAAACTCATGTTGTAGAAGATCAAAATCTCCTATGTCGTCGTCGGTGATGTGGTAGTTTATACAGCTGCCTCCTAATGGTGTGTTGTCTGGTACCAGAGCATCATATTCTGTCTGGTTCACATACGGCACCGTGTCTGAAGAGGAAAACCTGGTTTAAACTTGACTCATCTTTAAAACATTGGAGTTCACAGTCTAAATAGTTAAAAATAAGTCTGATTATAAAAACACATCAGAAACTGTTTGAAACACAGAGTATGGATTAAACCACTTTATTCTATAATGCTTCTAAATTTGTATCAAAATGGTTGATGTTACTGGATCATGCTTGTTCTAACTTACAAGCAAATTTACGATCGGTTCATAGCAAAATGAGACTCACTGATGTAACAGAGCAAAATATGCAACGTCTGATGAAAAGAAAGAAAGATTACATCATTGTAACAAGATCTTACTTGGTGCTGTAAAAAAGCGTATGGCGTAAGCTACATCAGATAGCCTGGTACCATGCGTAGTCCACTGATACCGATCCCCAACCTCAATGTTTGCAGGAAGAGGGGCTACCCATGTCTGGTTAGGGCAGCCCTCACAACAACACTCAGCATATTTAATTGGATTTTCTCCAGGTGTGTACCTTTATTCAAAGAATGGTCTATTATTTACATACACATATTTACATATACATATTTACATACATATATTTACATACATATATTTACATACACATATTTACATACATATATTTACATATACATATTTACATACACATATATACACATATTTACATATATATATTTACATATATATTTACATACATTTACATATATATACTTACATATATATACTTACATATATATATTTACATACATATATTTACTTACATATATATATTTACATACATATATTTACATATATATATATTTACATATATATATACATATACATATTTACATACATATATTTACAGTTTTACTAAGTATACAGCACAGTAATAATGTTTTCATTTATCACTATAATATCACTCAGCGTAAAATTATTGATGTCATCATAACTAACAATGTTAAACATCTGAACATGAAGATGAAAGTGCTATTGTTTTAAAGCTAATTTGATTTGGAGTTACTTTCAATAAACTTACTGGACACTGAAAATTTACCACAATTCTAGTATATGTGTATCTATATATAAAACTCATACTCTGTCGAGTCAAATTAAAAGGCTGATGCTCTGACTGTGGTCACAGGAACACCAGCCTATTGTGATATCTTATACTTACCAGCCAAGATAATCTCCCTGTCTGATAGACAACCGTTTCTTCAAAATCAAAGAATGGTTAATCGCAGTGCCAATATCTGTTTCTGAAATTTAAATATTATTGTTGTTAAAACAGTAAAAGAAACTTTTAAGCAAGAAAAAATAGAATTATCTACACTAACATTGATTTTTAAATTCAATTGATGACTTTGTTGAACACATCATAATAAATGATACACATCATCAAGGAGAGTAGTTGAAAACATTACTTTACAAACCATTAATTGTATAGTTGGTTGTATGAAGTAGTTGGTACTGTAAGGAATTATATCTACGCCAAACATGGAAAAATATTTCTCCTGCAATCCTGGGAACAAACTCGAAAGCTTCAAGTACTTCACAGCAAGGCATGTCCCAGTTAACATCAAGTAACAAAAATCCTTCACCTGTAAATAGTGAATTTCTTCTTATTATTTCTTATGTCTGAAAAAGAAGGCTTTATATTGTCTAACACAAATATTCTGTCAACAATAATGGTCAGATAAGGTTAGCTTCCGTTGGTGTGAAAGAGGAGTGCAGATTTTGTGGAGTGTGTGTTTTATGGGAGGCTGTAGTGTTTATGCAAGCCTTCCGGCTACAGTACCAATGCTGATTTCATAATACATTGTACAACCACAATGAAGACGACTGCCAATGGCAAGCAGTAGAATATTACATCACGTTATATCAACATTGTATTGATGGAGGTAACGTTATATCGACACTGATTACAAACACTGTATTGATGGAGGTAACGTTATATCGACATTGATTACAAACACTGTATTGATGGAGGTAACGTTATATCGACACTGATTACAAACACTGTATTGGTGGAGGTAACGTTATATCGACACTGATTACAAACACTGTATTGGTGGAGGTAACGTTATATCGACACTGATTACAAACACTGTATTGATGGAGGTAACGTTATATCGACATTGATTACAAACACTGTATTGATGGAGGTAACGTTATATCAACACTGATTACAAACACTGTATTGATGGAGGTAACGTTATATCGACACTGATTACAAACACTGTATTGATGGAGGTAACGTTATATCGACACTGATTACAAACACTGTATTGATGGAGGTAACGTTATATCGACACTGATTACAAACATTGTATTGATGGAGGTAACGTTATATCGACACTGATTACAAACATTGTATTGATGGAGGTAACGTTATATCGACACTGATTACAAACATTGTATTGATGGAGGTAATTACATTAATTTTCATTACATTGTAATGGTTAACTATTTTTTATTTCCAAAATCAAGGAATAAAAATCAACAAAACAAGAGTATGAGTGAAACTGATTAAAGCTCAGTGAAAACAACTTTATCAGACACAAAATTTACAATAAATCTGTCATTAAGGGGAGTTGTGGGCCCTGAATTTGGTACACTGCACATCACCTTAGTATGACCAATGTATACACCAAGTTTCATGATCCTCACGGAACTGTGGGCAAAGTTATGTTCCAGACACAATAGGAGGACAGACAGACTGACAGACAAATAAGGTGGTCACTATGTGCTCCCCATATCAATATCATTGTATAAAATTGTTTTGATGATTTTATCCAATGCTACATATGTATTTATCATCAGGAGGAATATACTTTAATTATGATCACTAACGTTAAAAACATGATTTGTGAATTTGATGTCTGTCCTATCGTCAGTGAGATTATGATTGCTGTAATTCAATAATTTGGGCAATCCTTTCCTGAAACGTGAAACTTACCAGATCGAGTGTCATTAAACACAGTAATGTTTGTTGGTTCGTCATAGCCAGCATAGTGGTCACCACATACTAGAAAATAAAGACAATACCGGTATACCATACAACTTGTGCAGCACAATATGTTCCACTTATACAATTGGACATGTTAAGACCAGACCAATATCATGATAAGGCCACGTCTAGGTTACTGTTAAGACCAGACCAATATCATGATAAGGCCACGTCTAGGCTACTGTTAAGACCAGACCATTACATGATAAGGCCACATATAGGTTACTGTTAAGACCAATATCATGATAAGGCCACGTCTAGGTTACTGTTAAGACCAATATCATGATAAGGCCACGTCTAGGTTACTGTTAAGACCAGACCAATATCATGATAAGGCACACGTCTAGTTTACTGTTAAGACCAGACCAATATTATGATAAGGCCACGTCTAGGTTACTGTTAAGACCAATATCATGATAAGGCCACATCTAGGTTACTGTTAAGACCAGACCAATATCATGATAAGGCCACGTCTAGGTTACTGTTAAGACCAGACCAATATCATGATAAGGCCACGTCTAGGTTACTGTTAAGACCAATATCATGATAAGGCCACATCTAGGTTACTGTTAAGACCAATATCATGATAAGGCCACATCTAGGTTACTGTTAAGACCAGACCAATATCATGATAAGGCCACGTCTAGGTTACTGTTAAGACCAGACCAATATCATGATAAGGCCACGTCTAGGTTACTGTTAAGACCAATATCTTGATAAGGCCATGTTATCGAACAGAAGGTTTCACCTAAGCTTGAATAACGTTTTTGATATAATACTAAAAAAATCCAGTTTTCTGTTGAAATTTGAGCATAATTTGTCAATATACCTATTTTTTATGTGGTGTTCCCAGTCCAACCAGAAAGTTGTAAGAATACAACTTTCCTTGCGTAGAAGTTATTGAGCAGAATGACATAAAATTGAAATTTTCAGTGGTCAAATATTGGTTTTCTGGTTATCCACACAAGGTCTCATGTAAAAGAGCTAACACACAAAATTGGTGAAAATCCAAATATAGCCATGAAAGAATGGAATAAAATTGCCAATTTTTTAAGTTCAAAGTCCCTTAACTCTTATAGATATGATTAGTAAAACATTGGGACTAAAATTAGTCAGGTCATCACATTGAAAATACTAAAATGTTAATCTTTCTTCATGCAAAGTCCCATAACTCTCGTGAATATAGACAAATTTCTCCGGTTATCATGTGAGGTCTCGTAAATATAAAGCCAGATCACAAATTCGGTGAGAACCTAACAACTACTACACAAGATATTGTGCCAAAATGGACGAACTGACAGACAGACAGGCTGATTACTATAGGGCATCCACATCTGAATGCAGAGCCCTAATTATGGTTTTCTGTTTTTTTTTAACTTAACTTTTAAGATACTTTTAAGAGGTTAACCATTTGGGATCCTCCTTAAATTGAATGAATGAATAACTACATACACAAGATGCTTATTGTACATTTGCTTTCTCCTCTTGCAAATTTTTCTCAGCTGACTGTAAGTAATTAAATTAATGAAATTGAGTCTCATTTACACAGATAAAACAAAAGTTTGTTGGCAGAGTCTGTAGTAGCTGACTTACCAGGACAAGACTGCGGTTTACAGGATTTACTGTCGTTGTACACATCCGGACAGTAATTGCCAGGCCAGACCTGTGTTGGGTTGTCACATACACGTTCTCTGTATCGTGTTCCGCCTCCACATGTGACGGAACAGAACGACCACGGTTGCCATGCATTCCACACACCGTCTCCTATTCAATTCAAACACCATTGAATGTGAAACTATGTTATGATAGTCTGGTATATTGAATATCATGTATCACTGGGAGAGTGTGTGTAACCCTTCCGTTCAGTGCTTGCTGTTTTTTCTTCTTTTATCATAAATAGTTTTTATCAATTAGAATTTCAAAACCCAAATACAGCATGCATATTAATACATTTTGCAAATAGCTCTTTGAAATTGTGACATATTGGCTCACAAAGAAAAGGCAAAATTAAGATCTAAAGAGGAAATTACAAAATGCCTCTAGTTCATTCTGTTTATAACAAAAAAAAACCCAGGATTATCTAAAGGTAGATGATGGACAGTGAGGTGTATAGATATCTGATGTCTAGCTAGGAATATAACTTACGTGCACAGTACAATGTGCCATGTCCATAGTTGGTGATCTGGGTCCAGGTTTTGTTGCAGGGATCACTGTATGTTACGTCATCATAGTAGAACCTACAGCTTCCGTTTGTGACGTTGTGACATTGATCAAACAGGATATCCAGAGCATCAGTATCCTTACACTCATCAGACCCACCCTCATCAAAGCCGTAGAAATTGTCCCACACATATATATAATAACTGGAAGGGCACACCATGTGGTACCATCCATTCTCCTGTATGTTTCCTGTGTCATATGCTTGAAAAGATAAGAAAAAGAATTTTGCTGTAGTTTCACTTTCACTTTCCATTAAGTATATATAACAGATTGATTACAAAACTACATGGATATTATACTATAATTCCAAATTCAGGTTGGAATAAAAAGACATGAAAACTGGTCATTACATGCACAGATCGGTAGGTCGGGTATGCAGTACTGGAATTCTATATCAACTCCAGGGCAGTAGAGACCATCCCCAACAGGTGCAGGATTGGTACAGTTCCGATAACGGTTCTGGCCTCCCTCTGCATAGCAAGTCGTGCTGCACGTGTCCCAGTCTGACCAAGCTGTCCAGTTACCATCCACTGGAGAAATAATAACAGGCATTAACATGAAATCACCCAACAAAATCAAGAAATCAAGAGCTATCACTGATGTGTCTTAAACTGACTGTGATGCACTTTAATTCAATATCTGGTGTGCGCTTCGAATGAGTGGCTACATGGGTGAAGAACTATCTTTATAATGACAGAAAATGTTTGTTCTGATATCCCTCATCAGGAAGAGGGGACTAATCCCTCCATGCTGAAACAAAGTAAAGCAAATGTGTAGTGTCATAGATTGTGATAAATCATACACTGACCTATGCTAATAAAAAGTTAAATTGAAGTGTAGGGGTGAAGTCACCATCCACCTCTGTGTCCTGTAGGCAACATGAACATAAGGTTCAGTAGTGAGAAGAGGAACACGCTGTTGAAGTGTGGAGTTCAACTTCGCCCACTGAAAACATAGCACACCTAACCCAAAATTTAGTGTAAAAAGTGTCATTCATTTAAGTGGTTTGTTCTGTTATCAGAAATAGCATAAGTAAAAACAAACGTATAATTTCACAAAAGACAATCTAGCAAATAACAGTTCTCCACTGAACGTGAAATCATATGCTTCTTTGGAGTAGGTCAAAGGTCAGAATGAAGGTCACACCAAGGTAAACCCATACACCTAGTATGAAGTTTCAGTTACTATTAGTGTAGGACATGAAGCTTGAACAATCTTTTCTTTGATAAAGTTCAAAGGTCAGAAGATCAAATAACTTAAGTGCAGGATATGAAGCCTGAACAATCTTTTCTTTGAAATAGTTCAAAGGTCAAAATATAGACACACTGCCTCACCAAGGTGAACCCATAACCCAGGTATGAAGTTCCAGTGACTAATATTGTAGAAGACAGAACCAGCCAAGAGACACAGAATGACAGACAAACAGAGACACAGCTAAAACTTTAGTCAGACACGCCCTTCTCCAGTTGGGGTACCTATAGTAATGAAACCACTGGGGAGTATACGTTACGTTACCAGAGAAATTTGTCTTCCAAAACAAGTGTTCGATAAGAATTTTCTGGAACTATTCATTTACTTGGATAATGTAAATGAAGAAAATTGGCAGATTTATACAAGAAGTATAATTATCACCAGAGTAGAGAATGTTCTATCCTAATAGGAGACAAAGGTAACACAAGTTGGCATTACAAAGAGTCATGACCATTAAAGCTGAAATTCTATATACTTACAATGTTGGCAGAGCCAGCCATAGTAATAGCCATCACAGATACATGCATATCTCCCTCCCTGGTCATCACACGTGGCACCATACAAACAGTTTACAGTGCTACAGATGTTGTCCATCGCTAAAACACAAAAGTTTACAAAACCTGAATCCATCCTGTTTAGCTTCATGTACATACATGTGGTGTTTTTCTGATGATCATCGGACATCATGATCAGCATATCATACATATATGTAGATGTATAATGTATTATTGATACCATAACTGAAATTTTACTTGCACTGTAAAGTGCCTTAGAGTAATTTGTGAAGTTATTTCGGGCGCTATATAAACGTTGTATATCATTATTATTATTATCCTTAACTGAAATTGTGGACATGTGTCAGGTCAATTTTGAAGCCAGTTATACTATATAAATGTGGAGGCTAAAGAGTGCTGTCCATATAGATTTCATATTTTGTGTTTCCAGCATGTCTCCTAAACGTTTTTGGAGACAGAATGGTATAGATTTGATATTCTGTGTTTCCAGCATGTCTCCTAAAAGTTTTTGGGGACAGAATGGTATAGATTTGATATTCTGTGTTTCCAGCATGTCTCCTAAATGTTTTTGGAGACAGAATGGTCTAGATTTGATATTCTGTGTTTCCAGCATGTCTCCTAAAAGTTTTTGGAGACAGAATGGTAATCAAGCTGTGATGACCGTCTTGTTGATATCGACATGTTGTCTACACGTATCTCGACATAAAAATAAATAGGAGTGAAAGCACTCGACTGAACAACAAGATGAGAAATTAAGCCTATAGTAATCTATACGGGGAGATCATTTCAGTGAATCAGTGTGTAACTGTGCTGAGATCAAATTATCGTAAGTTTGATATTTAGAGTAAATGTACTTACCAACAGAAATAACAAAATTGTCTGCAATCGCCATTACTGTGAAATAACAAAGTGATTTGAATGGAGATTATACATTGTATTATGTTCAAAGAAATATGAAGTCTTGGGTCAAAACTGATCAACACTGACCATCATCAATGTAGTCTTCTATAGAACAAATACACAATACCACTGGAGTCTTCTATAGAACAAATACACAATATCACTGGAGTCTTCTATAGAACAAATACACAATATCACTGGAGTCTTCTATAGAACAAATACACAATATCACTGGAGACTTCTATAGAACAAATACACAATATCACTGGAGTATGTGCAGAATTCGGAGAATAGATTGATGCTACAGAAAGTGTACAGTATGTAGATAGCAAGCACTATTTCAGGAAAATATCTCCTTGACCCCTGAACTCACAAAATAAATTGTTTTTACCTCAGAGGAAATTATAATCTATGTGCGGTACCCAATACAAAATCTGGATTCCTGGGGTGTGATAGAAGTTTAACTGAAATTCTGGTCCACTTAGGTGATAAATCATTGAAATGCCTTCAGAAAACGTTACTGCCAACTGTTCCTACTCATTGCTGTTTGTAGTGCATAAGAACAAGTGTACAATCATAAGTAAGAAGCTCCTGAAGAAGATGATTATAGAAATTGATAGATTTTACCTACTGGGCCTTACCCCTTCTGCCCAAGAGGGCCGTGACTCTACGTATCTACTAAACTGATTTTGTAAAGAATATTTCAGACCAAAATTGGACAATATCCTGCAATTCCTGAAGAACTTGTTTGATAGATTTATAAAAAATTGATAGATTTTCCCCCAACTGGGTCCCGCACCACCTGCCCCAGGTTGGCACTCTATCCCTAAATCTCACTCTTGGGCCAGGTGAGGTAAAACACTGCTAGTAGACAAGACATGTTTTGGATATTATTCCATGACCTGGCTAATACTATATGCCAACTCTAACCTCCTCCCCTTCCATCTTATAACTTAAAACTGAAATAAAAAATAACATACTGTCATTCTCTTCAACACTTCCTGCATCACTAAACATGGCAAATGGAGTTGTTGCCAGTGATTCCCATCCACAGGACCCTGCTCCTTCAACAACTCCAAACCAACCACTGTTAGCTGTACAGTCCTGACCATATGAAGCCTCCAGGAAGAATCGTCTGTTTGTGTCCCTACAAAAATATTCTGATACTGTAAATGATATCTATATATTCTGTATCTGTTAACTGTGTATTGTTTAAAATCAATTATTGTTTCCATGCCTTGCTTTAAAGGTAGTGTACATTAATAGTTCAAACTCTGATCATCACCTAACACGTCAGACTACAGTCATCAACGTGAACTAGTGATCATCACCCTGACAATCTGGTCATCACTCTGACAATCTGATCGTCACCCTGACAATCTGATCATCACCTAACACGTCAGACTACAGTCATCAACGTGAACTTGTGATCCTCACCCTGACAATCTGATCCTCACCCTGACAATCTGATCGTCACTCTGACAATCTGATCATCACCCTGACAATCTGATCGTCACTCTGACAATCTGATCATCACCCTGACAATCAAACTATAGCAGTCAATAGGAGTGTCTCATTATCTCATCAATAAGATCATCACCCTGGCAATTAAAGCATAGCAAACAAAAAGAGTCTAACATTAACACCAACCTGTCCTCCACACTCTGCCACAGTTTACAGAAACTCCACAGTGCTGTCACTGACCCTGCCATAACAACATGTTCTACTTACCCAGCAATACTGCAGTAGTCTACAGGCGTCTCCCTTGTTAAATCGTTGTACGAAGAGTAGAGAATCCGATCACAATCAAACCAACTTGTCTTGCTAGTCCCATGAGCATCAAAAACAACGTAAGCGACCTCAGCACCATCTTTGAAGAAGGATACACGAACCTGTGAATAGGTTGACATAATTCAGTTGGTTTATGAATAATAACAGCATATTTTACAGATCACAGTATAAACATAATATACCACAAAGCTGGTTATTTTTGTGGGACAATATTTTCGCTGTTTCTCCTTACATTAACGAAATCATGAAAATTTAACCTAAAACAATGAGACACGTGTGTATTTGATGTTCTTTTACGTCAAAATCTTATTAATATTCATTATAATATTATCCGATCGCTTTCAAAGAAAGCCATGAAAATATTTTGGCCTGAAATTTACCAGCTATACGATACTTATCTGTGTGAAGCATGATTATTCACATGGTCAACATTGAAAAGAGACCAATTATTTTTCAAAGCAAGAAATCTTTTGTCACTAAGTAAGAAAAGATGAATACTATACAAGACAAAGCAAGTTTTGACTTCACTATGGACATAAAGTTTTGTTTTTGTAGCATCAAGACATGTTAAATTCTAATTGGTGACATTGAGGTGGATAAGAAACAAAAAAAGCTTATATCTTCAACAGAAATCAGTTGATGGAATGCTCCCGCTTTCATGGATCTCAGTAAGATATTTAATTACCATCAAGTTCTTGAACTCCATCGGTCTTTATCTTTCAGTGTGATACACAACTTGAAGATGACTTATGACAAATTCCATCCTATATTATCTAACTGTAACCAATTTTATAAAATATAAGACATATCACTCACCGCCTGTATATAATAGGATGCCCAACTGTCAATGATATTAGATTTAAATGTCATGGCATTGTTCGCTAAGGAAAACGCTGTGTCATTATACTCATTGATTATGTAAGTCCCCGTGAATAAGTCATACACACTGCTAGCTGAGTACAAGGATCCACCCAGGGCGAAGTGGAAAGCTGGGAACCAGCCTGTAATGTCAACACAAAAATATACAGTTGTTGATTTATAGATATTTAAATTAAAGAAATTAAAACTTAATCAGACTGTGCTTTTGAAACCAATACTGAATGTGAACAGGTGTACAGACATTTACAAATTCAATATGTAATATTTTACACCATCTTAAATATAATTTTGATTTTATTTTTTGTTTGCAAAATTGTAAGTAATATGAATCATACCCTTCACAAAAACACCCATGACATCAGCTGCTGGCATTGCTGCAGAATCCCAGGAACTCACTGGAAATACATCACGTGCAAATGAGAACATGGATTAAATCAAAGATTCAGGAATGTTTAAAATCTCACTTAAAATGATAAATCGTTTCATAGGATTCAAGAAAACAGAAATATTCATGATAAAGATTAAATGTTTAACCTACCGCTTTGAGGGTATGCATAGGTACTCCCGCTGCTGTAGAGGAAGAACGGAGCTGTCTCCACACTTGAAGATCGGTCAAATACACAAGTTTCAGATGAATTTTCAGACACAAACATCCATCCTTGAACATTGGTACAGCTAGCACCACCTTGTTTCAAGATCGCAAAATTACGTTGATATCCATCTCTACAAACACAATAAATGTCTTCTTACAATCTAACCAGTAACAAGATGCATGAGCCCTCATTCTATATCTAAACAAATATTTCAATATATCTGAGAACAATGCATATCTGCTTCACCGGCAAAAGTAAATCTACACCCTTTAACACTTAATATTCAATAGTCCTATTAAGGCAGGGTCATTTAAGGACATGCCAAGTTTGGGTGGTGGAGGAAAGCTGGAGTTCCCAGAGGAAAACAACCGACCTGCGGCCAGAGGTGGAGGGCAAGTGATAAAGACGGTCATATGCCTTAACCACGTAGCCACCATGGACCCTATTCAAGAGAATAAAATTAAAATCTTTTAAAATTCAGTTTTACAGATTTTTTATGATATAGTAATTGATGTGCCTGCCTGGATAATAATACTAGTGATATCAGATACCTTTCCATTGATATCTTACCCTGCTATACTACAATCAGTCTTGGCCTGACTGACCATATCGTCATAGCTTGACAGTATGATTCTACCGTTTGAAAACCAGTCAGTACTTGTCGAGTTCCGGCCATCAAAAATTGCAAAAGCTACTTCTGCCCCGTTGGAGTAAAAGGCATACTTCACCTGTTATACAAGACATCAATGACTAGCATGACTGTACAGATCTTGGGTAAACAAAAACAAACTGACCTTAACACTCCAACATATGATTACAAGTACATGGTTTTGAGTTTCATGTACAGCCTTGTGCGGTGACACTGTGAATAACTATATTTTAATGCTAAGAACAATGTGTTTGCAATGTTAATGTAAACATAAATCAAAAGATTATTTATTCAGGTTTCACTGTTACAATAATATTGAAAAGTCCAATGGGCCCGCTGCACTCACCTGGTGTGTATATATACACCAGCCAAATGTTATGACTCTAGGCCTTTCAGTTCATGAGTAGAAGTTGTTTGAACATTTTAACAAATTCGACCCCTGTGATTTTGAATTGAATTATAATTATATCTTTAAGCTTATATATTACCATCATATGGAAGATATCATTTGAAAATAGATTTTAACATTTCCTACCATTTCAATAAATGTGAATGTTTCAGACCAAATTCCTAATAATGATGACTTGAATGTGAGGCCAGGAGCTGTCGAAGTTGTTTGAGCTGTTGTGTCTAAATAATTTTCAGTGTCTTCTGCGAGCCAGAGTGATTCCAGACTTCCTGTAGAGGCTGCCAAGCCTTGCACTCCTTTAAATGCCATGAACCAATCTAACGAGAAAATGTTAACAATAGCATATAGTGTGTTGTATCGTGACGTAATCAATATTATACCTTTGGTTAGGTGAAAATGACAAATTTATATGAAGAAAGATCATCCAACACATGTTCTAAAATTTGTATCTTAAAATATAAAATGACAAAATGAATCTAAAAATATTCAAGACACCAATCCTTTAAATGCCATGAACCAATCTATCAAGAAAATGTTCTCATTAGCATATAGTGTGTTGTATCGCAACATTAATCAATTTTTATGGATTTAGTCAGGTGAAAATGACTAATGTCAATCTTTATGAAGACAGATCATCATGTGTCTTAAAATATAAACGACAAAATGTATCGATGAATATCCAATACACCAGTGTTTTGAATATTACATTTTAATATAAATCCATGACATTGTGAAACATTGTCAATAGAAAAGTAGAGTATTTAATAGATGTCCTTTTGGCAACAGTTAATGCCAAACCAAGAATCTTAATGAGTTGGATGTATATTCTAGCCTTGTCACAGACAATAACCACTATTAACAGATACATTCTGTCTTGTTTTAAATTCACTTACATATTATTTAGAGATCTGAGAATGTGGTCACAATGTTGGGTTGATACTTCAAACACTTGCAATTTAAAACCTCCAAACCTGGAATGACTTACCCATTAAAAATATCGCCAAGACATCTGCATCTCCCACGAGAGGATCTATTATAAATACAAAAATAATTAGAAAGATACAAAATATATCAGTATTCATTTCTCTTTTACTAACCTTAAAGGGACATAACTTGATAAATCAGGTGATGTTGAAAATATATCATTTTTCATTTCAACATTTACATTAATTTCATTTATTTATTCATTTTTTTCTTTTTTGTAAAGAAAAAACAGTAATTATTTCTACAAAACAATAAAAAAAAAATGTAAAATAGGTGAAAGAATTTTTTTTTGTAATCATATCAGTTACCTGTTGACCATGTGACAAACTCGGTACCAGTAGCGTATTTGATGTAGGGCATGGTGTTTGATGTACTATCCCACTCAGAACAGCCATCAGAAGCTCCAACATCTTTATACATTAACCACCCACCCTCATTGGTACAACCATCATATCCCTGCCGACTTAAGTAGAATGTTCTTTTCTTGGTATTGTCCTCTCTGTTAGATACAAAAAAACATAAAGAGTTTAGAAAACCAAGATGTATAGAGTATTAAGTAAATGAAAACATTTATAATATATACATACCTTATCTGACAAGATATATTCTGAGTTGTCAGGTCATGCCAGCTTGAATACAAAATCTTGCTGCAGTCCATCCAGTTTGATTTTGTGTTCCCAAAGGTGTCAAACACCACATAATGCACTTCTTTGCCATTTTTCCATATTGACAATCGTAGCTGTGAAATAGATAAAGACATATTCAGGTATATCGTTGTACACTATCCAAAAGACATGGTCTTTTTAATCAAACTTATCGCAGTATGTTTCATCAGTTGACGGCCCTGATGACCTTTTATGTGTTGACGGGCTGTCAAGACTATGATAATAATAACAATAATTATGACACTTGATGGATCAAATGATATATCAATGTTTTAAAACTAAGATTAATGAAAAAATGATTTTCTTTGGATAAATCACTGTTAGTCGTGGCAGCAATTTTATTTTTTGGTTCAGTGTCAACTCAGTCTATGAAGTTGCATGATACCTAGACATAAACAGATAGCTACAAGCTAAAACACGGTTCACACTAAACGTGATAAACATACAGCTTGTGCTGAGGCAGTACTGCCCCAGTTGTCGAGTAAGGATGACTTGTAAATGGAGGCGGTGCTACTGAAGTCTGTTTTATCTGTTACATCTGAGTCTGTCTCTGTATCACTTGCTGTAGCATCGTAGTAAGCTTTCACATCAGAATAACCAGATTGGACTTGGTTGTGTGCTGCTTTAAACACAAGCCTCCAAGCTGAAACATTATGTGATAAACATCACTTCAGATCCAAAACAATCTTAACCATAATATGTCGTTCATTATCAGCATTCTTTATATAAATGACTCAAACAGATCACAACACATCATTGAAAACAATGGTGTGACTCCAATGTTCAAAGAAAATTTGTCATATTTTCTAAGTTGAGATGATAACCAAGATATCTTTAAAATGTGTAGAAAACTCATGACTTTCATGACATGGCAAATTTTGTTGTAAACAACGGAGGCAAATTAGGGTACAACTTAAAAATCCTTCTCAATCAGAATGGTTGAGCAGTTGTATTCAAACCAACCAGGTGAGTGACACAGGTCCTATAAGCCTCTTGTTTGACAATGATTCAATAATCTGTACTGATGTCACTCTTGTGTGATTTGAAATTTTTATTCGACTATACTAACCTCCCTGAAAAGTGTCCAGTAACTGTCGTTCTGAAATGGATATTTAAGATCACCGGGTTACAATTTGGTTAGACAAAAGATTGTTAATTTCATCAACCAATTGTTCTAGTCTTTACACCATGAAAGAAATGCCTCTAACAATTTTTATAAAAACAAGAAATTGTACCTTATACAATAAAGATCAGTGCAATGTTTATGTAATTTCACTGAGATCACATGAATATTAACCCAATATGCTAGACAACACAGCCTATGGAAATATTGGCCAATGTTAGGTTGTGGTAGTGCAGCAAGTTTGGAAAGCAACAGTAGGTGACAACAATCAGAAATCTTCCAACAGGTACGGATAAAACAGAAAAAGATCATAAGGAATGAGTAGTACTTATGGAATACTGGACTGGCGGGCTGATTACATGTGATTTACCATTTCCCAGTTCCGTATCTGACATCAGCTTTTCCCCAAAAACTCTGCTCCAAAGTATCGTGTTCCAAGGAAACATATACCAATTATTTAGGGCAAAGTGACTTAATGATTTTATGTAAAAATTTGAAAAAAAAAAAAAAAAAAAAAAAAGTTTTATGCCATGCTATTTTTAGAATTTCCAAAACAAAAAACAAGAAATTCAAATAATGATGAAGTGTAAAGTTTTGAAAATAGAAAAAACATTTTTTTCTTGACTGACTTTGGATCTTATATAGAAGATGAATGTACCAAATGAAATTCTAACTGAATCTCATGGCATTTTGGTATCAACAGAAATACCTAGAAATCACTGTAATTTTATTGGTTCCCAAGTGAATTAGTCTTTATGTAATTCTAAAGTTAACAGATTTGTGAGATACTCACTGATACAGTTGAGTTTGGCGTATCCATATTTAAGTACACCTGGATATGATGCACATGGATTACCACCGAAGTAGGAGTCCGTGAAGAAGAACTGACAACTATCTGTCTGTCCATGACAGTACCCTCTCAGCCTGTTTATGGCATCAGTTGTGTTACAATTGGTTCCATCGCCGTAATACGCATTATCAACGTATATATAGTAGCCAACAGGACATATCATGGTGTAGTTCTGAGTCTCGTTCAGATTGCCTGTGTTGTATTCTGTGGATAAAAAGATTACTTTTTATTGTACATGTGTAGCACAATTAGCATCACAACTCTTTTTAAGATTGACGAATATTGAATAATTCAAAACTACCTCTAGGATATTTAAAATTTAAAGAGAAATCAATGAAGAACAGGAATATTTTCCAAATTCAAATTCATTGCCTGTGTTGTATTCTGTGGATAAAAAGATTACTTTTTATTGTACATGTGTAGCACAATTAGCATCACAACTCTTTTTAAGATTGACGAATATTGAATAATTCAAAACTACCTCTAGGATATTTAAAATTTAAAGAGAAATCAATGAAGAACAGGAATATTTTCCAAATTCAAATTCAATGAAAAATAAAGTAATGAAAAAAAATATTAAAGCCAATCTAATAATACAGGGAACAGATGATGGTTGATAATGGAGTCAATATCAGACCCAGAGGGCGAGAGGAACCTACCAGGACAGACGTCATGATCCGGAACACAGGTCTGCACCTCGAGGTCGGGATATCCACAGTCAAGCCCATGCCCTACTGGTGCTGGTTCTGTACAGTTACGGTAACGGTACTGTGTACCTATGGCGTAACATGACGTACTACAGGCACTCCAGTCGCTCCATGTTGTCCAATTACCATCCACTGACATCAAGGAAAACAAAATAGTATATTCTTCAGCTCAAATTTGTATAAATTCATTGAAACAATGTAATTGCATCTGTTATGCTGGCTAAAGTAACTTAAATCTTTTTTTTTTTTTATTTTTGCAAAGTTTAAGCAGCTTTAAGTCTGTTGTTACTGAACATTTCAGCGATAAGAACAGATTTATAATCCATTTACTGAACTCTGTTAGATATTTCATAGTTAGACTTGTATTTTTATTCCTTTATTCTTCTTCTTATTTTTAAACTTGAGAAATCTACAGATAATATACTGTGTTCATCTTCTTGATGTTTACTGTATCAAGATAACAGCTGTTTTAAATAAATGTTGATTTTCCTCTACAGTTTAACACTAACTCTAAAATGTGGTTCTATATATAAACATATGAACACACTCTTTCTCTATGACATGTACATACAGTTCTGACAAAGCCAGCCGTAAAAATATCCATCACAAAAACAGCGGTATCGAGCTCCCCAATCATAGCACGTGCCACCATTCTCACAATCTACGATATCACAGATCGAGTCTTTAGCTATAAATAAAAAGAAAGAAAGAAAAGCTCCTACATGTGATTGTATTGCGTGATATCAGTTTCCTCACAAGTAGGATGTAATTTCATCATTAATTCAACAGTGATTATACTTACACATCGATATAGCAACGACATCAGCTACTGCCATGTCTGAAAGAAAAAAACAGCACTGGATTTAAAGACTTTTCGTTTAATAATACAACATAGGAATTTGACTTTCATGTTTATTATTATTGTTTAACATATAAAATATAACAATGACCTTGCCCTTTTGGAGCCTTAAAACAAATTAATCTTTTGGGGGAAAAAGTGTAATATATGTTACTGAAAACTAGGGGATATTCTCAACCATAATCTTAATATATCAAGGTTTGATAGGATCTGTTTGGATGTAGTCATAGTCAGAAGAGTATCACTCACTGAAAGTTGTATCAAGAGTAACATTGACCCTGATCTTCGTCCTAATCCTGAAACATGAACTAACTGAGGTATCCCAGTCAGAGCAGTATCACTCACTGAAAGTTGTATCAAGAGTAACATTGACCCTGATCTTCGTCCTAATCCTTAAACATGAACTAACTGAGGTATCCCAGTCTATCTGAAAGTTGTATCAAGAGTAACATTGACCCTGATCTTCGTCCTAATCCTTAAACATGAACTAACTGAGGTATCCCAGTCAGAAGAGTATCATTGACTGAAAGTTGTATCAAGAGTAACATTAACCCTGATCTTGTCCTAATCCTGAACTGACTTGATTAAGGGTATCCAAATAGATGCCATAAAATTGGTATTTTTTTTAAGGAAACCTATGATATTGATTTAGGATGTGATTAAGAGGGACATAACTGGAATGAACAACACAACTATGATTAAAATTTGTTGTCTCCTCATACCCTACAAATCACTGGGACAAGGAAATATACAAAAGACAGTCTCAATCTCTGTACATGGAGTGTAAAAATAGAAAAATAGAATATACAGTTCTTCTCAACACCATAGCATTACCGTCAAAGTTTTCAACAGTGGTAGCATCACTAAAGATTGCAAAAGGTCTGGTATGCTTCTGTTCCCAGGTACAGGAAGTTGTTGTGTGTTCAATGACTCCAAACCAACCACTGTTTACTGAACAGGAGTCTCCATATGAGGATGACATAAAAAATGTCCTGTTCAGACCGTAGTCCCTGCATAAAAAAATTGTTATATTACTTAATGCAGGCTTCTAGAATGTTAACTCAAAAGAAACATTGGAAATATTGATCTAAATGTCATATTTGCATTTGTATTCAAACTACTTCCAACATGAAAATACATCAATTCCTTCTGCTTACAGAGTTATGAATGAAAAATATGGCATCTGGAAAATATTGTACTCACAGATAGATGTTTGTTACGTAAAATATATGAGATAGTCCTGTCTTTCAAATGACAAAACTGGAAAATTTAAGAGAAATGCCCTTGCTCTTATCAAATGGTAAATGAATTTGCAGATGTTTTCTAATGTGACCTTTGATCCTTTAATCTTGACCTATGACCATATCAAGGTTAAAGGTTAAGGTGTAGAACCTGATGTTATATGTTACCAAGGTGTAAATCCAAACCAAATCTGTTGAGATGTTCTCAAGCTTGGACTTTGAGTCTTCTGAGTACAAAGTATTGCACAGATACAGCTGAGGAATTGAATCATATCTTTGATATACATACCCCATCACACTACAGTAGTCCCTTAAGCCGTATCTGCTCACATCCGTCCATGAGGAATACAACACTTTGTCACAGCTGAACCAACTTAACTTGTCTGTCCCATGAGCATCGAAAACAACGTATGCCACCTCGGTTCCGCCCACGAAGAATGATACACGTACCTACAGAAAAGGTATATTGCACGACTTGTTGGCTTTCAAAATTCAAATCCCAATCTTATGTATTATCATAGGATCATAGGAAAATATATTCTACTTCATTAGTGACACCTGCCATGTACAGTTGTTGGACCACACAACGCAATGGGAACTTTGTGTGCACATTGTGCATACATCCTCTACACATTGAGGAGTGCCCAGACGTAGTATCCAATGCACAACTGTTGTGCAGACCCCATGCACACATCACAGACTGTGTAACATTGTATATCCCATAACTGTACATCAACATATCAAGTAATATCTCATTCCTAAATGAGAATCCTCTTTATAACAAGACAGTAATCTGATACAACACCTACACTCTAACACTGATTCATCTGTTTACAAAATAAAAATATTGTGGAACAAATTCAAAGTGTTTCCAAAATGATTTGGAAAATATTTCAGCAATATTACTAATATTAGAAATAGAATGGAGAGGAAATCTTACTGCCTTGATGTAGTAGTTTGACCAATTGTCCACAACATGTGATTTGTAGGGCATGGTGTCAGCTGCGAAGGAAAAGGCAGTGTCTGTGTCATTGTACTCATTCAAAGTATAGTTTCCTGTCCACAGGTCGTAAATACCCAGAGCCGGCGACAAATCTACCCCTTTAGCAACCTTCATTAACGGATACCATCCTAAAACAATTGTATAAAACACATACAGTATATTTCACCTTCCAATACAAATTTAAAATTCAACACAACCAATTACACATCCTCATACATGGGTTTTGTCCTTCTTGAACCTACATGTAACATTGAAAATCTACAGATAGCTAGGTAGGGACTGATCAACACTGCAACAAATTCTATCACTTCGTAAGCGATAAAAGTTTCAGCTATAATGTTGTATTGAACATATGAGTTCTGTTTTAATCTATCAAATTATTCATTGATTCATTGATTTTTCATACTGATCAGTCCACCTCTTACTTTCTCACTCTCTCACACAGACAGCCTTGATTTACCTACCAATGATAAAAACTCCCATAACTTCAGCAGAAGGGAAGTTAACACTGTCCCAGGTCGTAGCTACAAGTGTACGAGGAACAAAGCATTACATAGAATTAAGTATGATATGTGAAATATAACAAAAATGAGTATTTTACAGCTTGTTAGTGGATTTACCTAGATTGGATCTACATCATATCTGTTTATACATAATTTTCAATTAAAATATACCAAATGAAGCAAGAAAAATATTTTGTGATATGTGTTTAAATATAGATTTCTAATTGAAATATTGAGACACCAAAATCATTTCATTTCACTTTCTACTTTGAAAATCATGAAAATTAAGAAATTATGCAAAGTGTGTATAAATGACACACTATGGAGTGTCTGAGTGTATGTAATTCTGCTTAATCTCAAAATAAAATATGTAGTAATTATAATACAAATTATCACAAAATAAAACATCATGATTATAATACAAAGTATTGACATGATTTCAAATACATTGTTGATGTTGTTGAAGCATTATTAATCTTAGTATACAATTTATGACACACCTGGCAGCTGGTCATTGTCAGGTCACTTACATGGTTGTGGAAGTCCGTACGATGTGCCATCACTATACAGGAAGTTTGGACGGTTCTTCCCGAGTAATGCACTATTATCAAAGGCGCAGTATGTTGAACCACCCACATCCTGTGTCAACATCCATGCTTTATAGCTACTACAGGTTGTTGAGATGTCATGGGCAATCAGAAAACGTCGTCGTGAATCGCTGATTTTAGAAACAAAAGAGGATGTTTAAATAAAATTTTCTGCCTTAATGAAAAAAAAAAAAAACAAGAATATACCAATATGTCAACATGACCATCATCGAATTCAATAAAACTAGGGCAAAATATGAACAAAAGGAAGATGTTGGCATAGACTCACTACATTTCATTCTCTTTCTAAAACCACTGCATTTTTCTATTTAAATGACGAACCTATTAAACAGGGGGAGACGAGGAGGGCAGTATAATGTAAAAAAAAAGTATATATGTTGTACATGATAAATATCTTAGGATGTGAGGTAAAACAGAAATGAGTTATCACATTTCACCGAATGTGGATTAACATGAGTTATCAAATGACTGTCACATGCCACTAAATGCATTTCAATTTCTCTACAACTAAGATTGTTACATGAGGTATAACAAAAATGAGCTACCAATATATATGTAAAAGGGTATATATATTGTAAAATGAAAAACAACCTCATAAAACATGCAAGGTGAAGATATTCCTAGTCATACAATGAAACCAAAAACTACTTCCAAAATTGAAATGTGATTTGCAGTTTTTCCCTCAAGTTGTTACTGTCAACAAAAATATTTGTCAGTCTTATTTAATAATAAAAACGAGTGCAATACATCTTACCTAGAAATGCTACAATGACCGATTGATACTGATGAAATGTCTGTATATTTGGAAAACCGTATTTTGCTTGAAGTGAACCAAGAGGTCTTAGTTGTACTCCTCCCGTCAAAAATTGTGTAAGCTTTTTCAATTCCGTTGGTGAAGAAACCATACTTCACCTGAAACCCGTTTGAAATGAGAATACACTGAGCATTCACAATTAAATGTCAATACAATATCTACTCTTATCAAATTACTACCGGTAATTAGTGAAAACAAAACATTTAGAATCATAAGTCACTTTTCAATATATTCATGCTTACAAATCATTTTCCATTTTGTCAAGACACATCAATGGAGTGTGTAGAGAAATGTATTTTCCTTGGTTTTTTATACATGTAAAGTATTCAAAATAGTGTACAGATTAAAAATAACCCTGAATAAAGGGCCATCATTATCATCATCATCATCATCATCATCATCATCATCATCATTGACCAAATATACATATAAAGTACAATTTACCATATCTATGAATGTGAATGGGTCGGACCAGTTTTCGACTAGACTGGATTTGTAAGCCACATTTGGTGATTTGGTAATCGTTGTGGCTGTCATGACATTATCATTCTCTGTGTCTGTTAGCGTCCACAGATTAGCCAGGGTCCCTGCTTCAGGGGTCACTTCTTCTACACCCTTAAACACCATATGCCAATCTGAAACACCACCATATCAAAGTTTAGGATAAGTCGACACCTTTGATGAAAACTTAAAAATCTAGAACTGTTGTCTGGAGGCCAACTCATACCCCAGCTACCAACAGAGGTTTCAATAGAAAAATAACATGGTATTTCATTTTGGTACATGAATTATATATGATATATCAATTAGTTTAGGAATAGCTATTACATTGTAAGTTTCCGAAAAGGGGAGGTAACTTTATCTGATACAGATAACACACATCTACAATATATGTGGATTATAGCTAGCAAGTATCACTGAAATTAGTTCAGTAGTTTAGGAGGTGTAGCCGATACATGGATATGTGTGGGTGTGGGGATGGGGATGGTGGTGGGTGTGGGGATGGAGGTGTGGGTGTGAGGATGGGAGTGTGGGGATTGGGGTTTGTGTGGGGATGAGGGTGTGGCTGGGTGTGGGGATGGGGATGTGGGTGTGGGGATGAGAGTGTGGGGATGGGGGTGTGGGTGGGTGGGGGTGAGGGTATGGGGGTGTGGGTGGATGTGGGGATGGGGGTGTGGGTGGGTGTGGGGGTGTGGGTTGGTGTGGGGATGGGGGTGTGGGTGGGTGTGGGGATGGGGGTGTGGGTTGGTGTGGGGATAGGGGTGTTGTAGGTGGATGTGGGGATGGGGATGGGGATGTGGGTGTGGGTGAGGGTGTGGGGGTGTGGGGATGGTGGTGTGGGTGGGTGTGGGGATGGGGATGGGGGACATCATAGAAAATTTTATTGTGTGAAGTAAGGTAATACATTGACTATAATATGGTAACAATACAACCCAGGCTTAGATAGCAAAAACAGAGGGATTCATGCACAGTGAAAGGCGTATTGTTTCATTCTATTGTAACACTAAGCAATAATTGGGTCAAGTACATAAACACATTCATTTAACAGGTAAATGACATGAAACAAAAATGTAAGGTGTACATATCTCAAACAAAATAATCCCAGCATCAATATCAAATTTTCACCGCGTATCAAACAGACTTACCCATCAGAAATATTGCCAATGCGTCTGCAGTAGTTTTATTTCCTGAAAGAAAAATTAGATGTTTATTTAGATGTAACTAGTTCTTCTTTGTTTATGACTTTAAAAGATTTCATTCTGGAGAAGAGAGTGACAATTGTCCAATAATTAATGAAACAGTCCTCAAATGCTGCACCGGCACAATATCCATAAGACTTACACATCCTGAATACACATAACATGTAAGAGTATTATACATGCACGACCTACACTGTGTATGTAATGTATGCACCCTACCTGGAACAGTTTACCAATATAACAGATGAAATAATAATGGGAAAAAACTTACTGGTGATAACACACCCAGAAGTATTTTTAAAGCATTAGATTTTGAATGATCAAACTTTGATATTTATTTATCTATTTTCCAGGTATACAAATATATTTGGGACCTACCTGTATACGATAATTTGTTTTAAACATATTTGATAAAAAATCAGCTTACCGTAAGCCCATTGAACACGAACACCTGTTTGTGAGTACCATATCTGTGGAAGAGATGTTGTAGTGTCCCACTCAGAACAGCCATCAGTCGCCCCGTAATCCTTCAGCACAAGCCATCCTGTTTCATTCGTACAGGTTGTATAATCACTCTTCATGAAGAAATTTCTCTTCCAGGTGTCCCCTTCACTAGAAGAAACATGAGACAAACTCATAGTTTTAACATATACATAACAATGAAGAGTTGCTACTGTTGAAAAATTAGGGAGAAAGTTGCTAAGAACAAAACATTTTCATCTTAAGAAACGGAACGGAAAGTCACAGCTAGATAAATGAGATATTAACCTCTTTGTGCATGTGTAGTTTCCATCTGGTAGGTCATGCCAGCTTGACTCTACAATATTGCTGCAATCAAACCAATCTGTCTTTCCTTTTCCCACAGCATCAAATGTTACATAGTGCACTTCCTGCCCGTCTTTAAACACAGATAATTTTACCTGTAAATCAAGGACAACATTTGATATGAAATCAAAGACAATTTTGACAATAAAATATGTTGGAGACAGAAGAAACACTTTCCAGGAAAAGAGGCTGAGAATATCTATATGTACAAGTAGTACAACCAAACCCATCACATGAAGCAGAAGATCTTTGGATGTGATGATTTCAAAACATATCACAAGATACTTACACCACTGACAGATGTATTCACTCCCCAATAATCAAGCATTGTTGACTTGTAGACAGTGCCTCCTGCGCTGAAGTCTGTCATTGCAGCTGTATCAAATTCATTGTATGCCCCAGACGCATCATACAGTGCCATGAAATCAGCATAGCCAGCAGGGGGAGCTGTACCAGCGGGCACCTTAAACGCCAGTCGCCAGGCTGGCAAGGTTAACACGAGTCATTACAACTAATCTGAACTATAAAATCTTAAATGTTTGAAAGATCATCCTACTCTACAGAGGACAAAAACAATATGAATAATGTGTTCAATAACCAGTGTTTTACTACTGAATATTTATCAGAATTAAAGTTTCTTTATGTATATCTCATTATATTGTATCATGAAGAATTGATGGCAGATGTAAACTTACGTCCTCGGAAATTGTCCAATTCACGCCGTTCTGTCAAACAAAGAATGTATATTGTTTCTTTAAAAAATAAGAATATTTTAATCTAACATATTTTTCTTTGCCACATTTTCCAGCAATTTAATATTTCTACTCTGAATGATCAAATGTCATGTTTAACCAATGAATTCTAGTACTTTCTCAATACTTTTGACAAACAGAGGAAAAACCAAAAAAATCTTAGCCAGTTTATAAAACAAGAGGTTCGTGGGCCTTAACGGTCATCTGACATAAAATACAAGATTTCAAATTTTGAACTTGAGAAGAAGTCAAAAATGTGTTTTCAAGAGGGCGGCCATGGCAGCCATGTTGGATTTCGGACCAACCCGAAATTAACAAACTTTGGTCAGGATCATGTCACGATCATTTCTGGTAAGTTTCAGCTCAATGAGACATGTAGAACATGAGAAGAAGTTGAAAATGTTTACGACCCATCGGTCAGATGACCTAAAAATTCACACACTAACAGCACATTTTGTGGTCAGAACACGGTCATGTGATACTGGATTAACAAGTTATCTGTTCATATTACTATAAACCAACTTTCGTGTGTGATTTCTTTTTGCTGATTTTCTGATTGAAGCAAAATCGCAAAAAATAATCGCTGCAAATCAAAACATACATAATGATAACGTTCCTTGCTCATAATGTTTATTACTTGTTCCTTTATAAAATGACCTTTGACCTAATGTGCAGTTTATTCTAATTCTACTTTAATAGTACATACAGCTATATTGAGTTCTACAAATCTATGACTGAAGTGTTAAGACAATATATTGCCTTGAGTATTTGATTCTGAGGAGTTCATGTTTTGTAAAATGGTGGAGATTTATAGCATGTTTGAATTCTAAGAATGAGTAGAAGTTGAGTTGAGAGTACATGTTGCAGTACTGGACTTGGCTAGTGGGATGTTCCCTGTAGCTAAGCATTAGAGTGTCCGGTTAGAGGTTGAAAGGTCACTAGATCGAATCCTGTCGGGGGCTTGGTGTTTTTTCAGTATTTCTTCCTATGACATATCTATTTCAACATACAGAAATGATTCAGGTTTGTTCATTTAATACATTTTAAAATGAATAGAACTAATTCCAATCATATTACTCACTTGCGCAGTAGAACCTGGCACTTCCTGTTACAACTGCACCTGGGTATGCTGTACATGGATCTCCAGAGAAGAAAGTGTCAGAGAAAGTCACGTTACAAGTGTCTGTCTGCATGTGACAGGCAGTCCTAACATCTTCTAACGCATTAGCATCATAGCATGTGGTCCCATTGCCGTAGCTAGCCGCATACACATGTATGTAGAAGTCAGAGGGACACACCATGTAATAGGAGGTTTCCTCTGCTATCTCCCCTGTGTTGTATTCTGATCAAAACCACAAAAAGAAACAATGTTAAGAATCCTAACAAATGAAACCATTATAAAATTCACAACAAGGAAATCTCCATGGTCTTCCAAAGCCTGTTGAAAAACAACATAATTTCTCACTTAAGTGACAACTGTTGTTTGGGAATAAAAAACAAAAATATACCAACATGTCAACATGATCATAATCCAACCTCAAATTACAACACAAACTGATGTGGAGGTAATATGATAAACATGAAGATCTGTGGCTTACTATACTGAAGCTGTGAAGATTAGTCATTCTAAAAAATTTCTTCCTAAATGGCAAATACTTACCTGGACAGATATCTAGATTTGTTGGAATACACCTGAGAATCTCCAAAGGTTCTCCATATCTAGTGCAGTCCTGTCCTATCCCTAGAGGGGTTGGATTTGTGCATGTCCGCGTCCTATAGTGAGTGCCCTCAGCGTAACAGGTTGTTGTACAATCACTCCAGTCTGTCCACGATGTATAATTACCGTCGACTGAAAAAAATTACAATTTTATTTTCTTTTAATTTTTTTCTGTCAGCATGGGTAATTATACTAATACAACTGCATGTTCTGCTGTCTAGTATGTATAGAGACTACTAATACAACTGCATGTTCTGCTGTCTAGTATGTATAGAGACTACTAATACAACTGCATGTTCTGCTGTCTAGTATGTATAGAGACTACTAATACAACTGCATGTTCTGCTGTCTAGTATGTATAGAGACTACTAATACAACTGCATGTTCTGCTGTCTAGTATGTATAGAGACTACTAATACAACTGCATGTTCTGCTGTCTAGTATGTATAGAGACTACTAATACAACTGCATGTTCTGCTGTCTAGTATGTATAGAGAATATCAACTGTTACAGTGTAAAGATCAAACATGAGAAACGAAATGTTAATTTCAGCTCTTCAAGACTTAATTGGTTCAAAAATTATGTGCAAGAAACCTGCTGATAAATAATGATAGAAAAACCTTGAAGACAATAAGATTCAAGTGATTTTACACAAAATGAATGTGTATAGGTGTTAAGTGTCTTTATTCATATCATCACATCTGATGAACGGTTCTTGTACATAACACAATGTCCATCAGGGTTTTCCATAATTTTGTTAGTAGTAGGCTGTGTAGTGAAAGTAGGAGGCTGGCAAAGCCAGCTGACATGAGCCGCAACGCGGCGCGGTGGGGATGGCCTGTGGTGTACGTGTAGTGGTGTACGGAACATTATTACAGAACTGGATTGGTGTAGGCGGCCAAATGATCAAAGTAGGCGGTCAAATTGGCCGGCGACCGGCTCTTATGGAAAACCCTGGTCCATATATATGTATACTTGTAGTACAAATGTTATATATATAATTTATGTATTCACAGCTTGAGTAGCAAAACTGTAATCCAAACTCTAAATTGTTGCAACAAGGAGAAAACATGAACAAACATAAAGAAAGGTCCCTTAGATATTACTAGGAGAGTGAGACTAGATGTTCCAGAAACCTTACGTAAATTTTCATCAGTCAACTCACTGTTTTGACAAAGCCATCCATAGTGATCGCCTTCACAGAGGCAGTTGTAAGTGACTCCCCAGTCACGACAGGTGGCACCATTTTCACACGCGACAATATCACAAATATTGTCCATGGCTATAAATAGAAATATTTGTGTAAAATTCAAAGACCAAAATAAAGACATAAAGCGATGATAAGCCCGAAGTAGGTTTCTCTTTTCTATCTGAATTTCACAGCAGCTGATGCCTGTATACTGAGCAAATATAGTAATGTTTAAAATTGGGAAGATATGACTTTTTGCTTTTTTTTAAGGAGAAACAGCGTATTTTCAGTTGTAAAACAGAGCCAAAGGAATCACTAGCAACTGAGTCTCAATGATCTACATATTTTTTTTAATTTTGACAATTATTTAATACCTGACTGAGTTTTTACATGGACACTCTCAAGGATCAGAGCCAATAGAATGAGTGAAGGATATACTTACAGACAGAGACAGCAAACACATCAGCGACTGCCATATCTGCAATGTTAAACACAAAATCCTGTTAAACTTATATTCTAAATAAGGATCATCAATCACAGTAGCATGCTTTCTGTATGTGTCAGATATGTTTGTCAGATTAAAAAAGGGTTTTAAAAAATAATGTGAAATCATATTTGTTATTAAACATATCGCGTAACAATCAATCAGACGAGAAAAATCTTCAGTTGGAGAAATTTTCGAGGAACCAACGTCCTGCTAAGTTCATATGTATGCTGAGGCTTCAGGAAGATAAATTGGTGTACGGAGGTCTCTTAAAAAGTATTAAACATGTAGTGTGTAGCTAGGAGTGACCATGGGGGTCATAGGATTACAACAACAGATTATGACATCATCAATACAGTTACCAAGGAAGTAGTTAAGGAACATAGGCTTAGACTGATAGTGTTCGGTCTAAAATCTGAGAACATAATTACAAAAGTTTCATTAATGTATAAAGATGAATCTATATAGAAAAGATAACAAAATCCTCTTTTGTCGATAAGTGTAGAGAGAAATACAGTTTATATAGTCTGGCTGACAGCCGGCAATAGCTTAGGCTTATAGAAGTAAGTATTAAGGGTATGTCTTTAAAAATGATTGAATAACATGATTTATTGCATAATAGTTGTGTCCATGTCAACGTAACTGCCTGCTGTTATGCATAAAGTGCACATCTAAAATACCACGTAACACACTCTGATTATGTGTTGTAAATTACTATGGTACATGGATTTGTTTGTAAATACAAGTTAGACAGGTGCACAAATGGCATTCATTTTAACTTGAGTTCATACCATTGTTTAATCCAAGTGTTGTTATGTTACTATAAACAGCGAATGGTGCAGATGCTTGTGTCTCCCATGCACAACCAGACCCAGCCTCAGACACGGCAAACCAGCCGTTATGTAAATTACATGTACTACCATACGAGGACTGCATGGCAAAATGTCTGCTGTTCGCAAAGTCTCTGCAATATAACAATACACATTAACAGTTCTATCAATGGAGGGTCTACACTTTATAGAAAAGTTACAAAATAAAATTTTAAAAAAATTGTTTTGAAGATGGAAAAATAATGTATATATTCACGTCAGGTTTGAGAAATATCCCTCCAGTGCTTCAAAAGAAATATCAGTAATATGGGATGTTTACAACGGACAAACAACATACCAGAGATAATAGGTAATTTGATGGTGAGCTAAAAAGAAGAGGAAATTGTATATCTACTATGTACCCTGCTATACTGCAGTAATCTTTCCTCCCTAAGTACTGAGATCAGCCCATGATGTATATAGGATCCTGTCACAGGAAAACCAGCTGGTTTTATCTGAACCATGAGCATCAAAGACAACATAGGCTTGTTCAGACCCATTCACAAAGAAGGACACCCTAACCTGTCAATACAAACAACAAGATTCACATAGCAGTGTAGCTGATGAAGCAGAGGCCTTCGGAAACCACTTATTACCCTTGTCAGGGGTGTCTGTTTAAATATTCTATATCTTGCCGTTGTCATTTCAATGAATTTCAGTTTTTCAGATTCATTTCAGATTTCATTCGTATATATTGTAAAATTAATTTAGAATTATAAAATTCTTAACATTATTCATGCTGACCATGGTCTTACAGGGTCAGCAAGGTCATGACATCAGCCATCAGTACAGTGGATATATCATTTTTAGTGCTTATTCAAAAGTAACGTAATGCAACTATA